TGTTTGAAGATTAATATCTAATATTGTTTGTAGATTGATAACTCGTGTATTGTTTGTAGATTGGTTTGTAGATTAATACTCTGTATTGTTTGTAGATTGATAACTCGTATATTGTTTGTAGATTGATCACTCTGATAGTGTTTGTAGATTGATAACTTTCGTATTTTCTGAAGATTAATATCTAACATTGTTTATAGATTGATAACACGTGTATTGTTTGTAGATTGATCACTCTGATAGTGTTTGTAGATTGATCACTCATGTATTGTTTGTAGATTGATCACTCATATATTGTTTGTAGATTTATAAATCGTGTATTGTTTGTAGATTGATCACTTTGATATTGTTTGTAGATTGATAACTTTCATATTGTTTGTAGAATAATACTCTAATATTGTTTGTAGATTGATAACTCGTGTATTATTTGTAGATTGGTTTGTAGATTAATACTCTAATATTGTTTATAGTTTGATAACTCGTATATTGATTGTAGATTGATTACTCTGATATTTTTGTAGATTGATCACTCACAAGTCTAGTTGTTATTGTTGCCCATTATGCATAAAGATGTTTTTATTTTTATTTCTGAAAATGCTTTTTGTTTTTGGTGCACTTTTATAGTATCCAGGCCAATTATCTTAAGCATCTTTTTGCTGTTGCTTTTTTGGCAATAAGTATAGTTATAGCGAATCAGTATTTTGTATGGAAGTCAAAATACTACTTCAGTAACATTTTGCTACTTTCATGAAAACTTATTTCACATTTACAGCTACTTTCTTCAGGTAAAACACATCTTATATTCTCTAAAACCATTATTTAAATTTTATAAAAATTCATGTTTGCGCTTTCTAGAGAAGTAAAATTTAATTGTTTCTGAGGCATTATGTGCACTAGGAGTCCTGTGATGTAACCTTCTTCACCATTTCATGCAATTACTATGTCTACATCAACAAAGTATAGAACAGTGAATAAGCCTGGCTTGCTTCCGATAATATAGTTACCTATTCAAATTGCAAGGCCTATTGACTTAAGGTTCTTTCTTACACACTACCTCACAAAAAGTTGACTATTCTTAAGGGGATACTTTTTCAATTACATCAAATTCTCTTATTTGACCTTCCTGTATCTACAAAATTTAGGAACTTTTTAAGATTGTATATTAGGATTTAAAACAGTTAAGACAAAATATAATTGTTAACGAAGTAGAGAAAATGTTATAGTGCAATGTAACTTTACCCCACTTAATGAAAAATTATTTACAAACAATTGAATTGTACATTTATTGCAACACCTCAACGATATTTCGATATCATCTCGAATTTCACACGAATTGAAAATAGTTCTACCACGTGATGCTAAGTGCAATCTTTGTATAATGAATAAAGATGACATCTGCCGAAAAATAATTCTATTTTGGTAAAAGAATCACTGAAAAACATGTCTGAAAGCCAGAATCAATTTTAAAATGCACAATGACGGACAATTAAATCGGATTTCAGAATTATATCCAAATCCGAAATCTACTGTCTATGATTTTTGTTGATTTAGGTTGACTGTGGAATAAACTTAGTCAGCAACTTACTATACAAGTTTAGTAGCATAGGTAAATACCAAAATACTGTATTCGTTCAATGTATTCATTATTGAGGGCATTGTTTTGAACAAAGTTGAAAAACTTTGCTAATTTCATTTTATGATACTATGGCTTTTAACTGTTTGTTAGTGTTATCTTTATTTCGAACAGACGTTCATCATTTTCGATATGAATTTTAGATTCGGTTTCGAAATCTTTCCTCAATTACTATATCGTTTCCACGGTTATACTAAGGGTCATAGCGAAATAAAAGGTGGCATCTTTTGAGTTCCGTTGATTCATATTTATGTCGGCTCCAACAATAAAATAATAAAGGGTGACACGTGATCGAATTCAAGGAGGCTAAATAAATTTTTAAAACTTATTCTTTCCATACCAAATCCGCGCACACATGTTTCTGAGCAAGTGCGTGACAAAAAATGGAATATTCTCCGAAAAGTCTTTTCTTGCTTGAATTACCATGTCACATTTGAAAATCGCCACTTAAACGAACTCGACCACTTTATGTCTGCTGGTGTGGCCGAGTAGTTAAGGCGCCGAACTAGTGATCTAAGAATTACTGGACGCATGGGTTCAAATCCTATCAGAGGCAAGTCGTTGCTTACTTGAGCAAGTAACTTGACACTGATTGGTTCCAGTGACGGATTCGCGAGTGACTAAAATAAATTAGTACAAACTAAACTAACTCGACTACGTTAACGTTTATGAGGCAGCGCTGTCATGCGGCGTTACAATAATCTGCTGCGCACAATGATTTTATACATCATTTCATTTAGACTAGTTAAATTTACCGTCTAAAACAATGCTATGTGCGGTGAATTCATTGGCTATCTTACAATCATAATTGGAGAGGTTATCAGACCTCTCCACAGTATTGAGAATGATTGTTGGCGGCATCCATTTTTGCGTATCAAATTAGAACTTATGTGTCGCATTTTAAGCCTTAAATCATTAGAATCAGTCTACAAAAATTGTTATGCGCATGCTCCACTTCGAAATGCAACTTAAACGAAAAATTAGCATCGAAGTGAACAAATCGGTACAAGGAAAAAATCGGAAAATATCATTTACGTTACTGTAAAGTACGAGCAATGGTTCATTCCGTTATAATCCTTTAAACTGTATAGATCGATTATTGTCTTCTGAATTTACTATATCATGTTCCGAAAAATATTAATAACAGTAATTAGCTACAATATCACCATGCACTATTACATGACCGAGTGAACCGTGTACCGAAATTTTGCTGCTCCTTTTACTTTTGAACCGGCATGACTAAATAACGCAACGGAGACTTTTTGTCGCAAATGGCACACATTTTCCTCAAGCTTGATTTTCTTGAAATATTGTGGTTGGAGGCATTCAGCTTTTTACACTATTAATTCCAATCAAACATTAACATTAATATAAACATTTTTTTATGTAAATCTGGGACTTAAAATTGTTTGATTAACATACTTTATGTTCGTTTTTTGAAAATCTCTGTTGCAGAGGAAATGTTTCCATATACTTACCAAAACATTAATCGAAATGATTGATAACATAACATAAATTGTTCTCTTTGTAGAAAAATATCCCTGATGTGCAAAGAAAATGTCCATTTCTCCGGCATATAATCTTTCAAAACATAAAATACATAAATTGCAAAACAAACTTTCATTATGATACTATATTCAATATATAAAATAAATTCTATTTTCTTAACTAATTGTAATTTTTAAACATTTATTGTGCCTTTCACGCAAAAATGTCTCCACATATTTTCGAATCAAACAAATCTTCTACAGCTGCAAAAAGACCTCTCGCTTGCTTCTTTTTAAAGAAGCAAACTTGTTATCTCACGCTACATTTCACGTAATCTAGATGGTGACTAACCAGCTTGAATGGTAGATGAAGGCCTTGGGACCTTTCCGTGCATTATTTCAGGCACACATGGATATTTTTCTCGAGTAGAAACACCGAACTTCTATAAGCTAGCCGGATTGTTTTCTGTCGGAACTTACAGCGTTAATTGAAGTCGGTCGCCGAAACCAGTCGGCGACGGAGGCCCTGTAACACCGCAAAACGTCCGTACCGCAAAACGTACGCGTATGGACGTTTTGCGTCGCATATCGTACACATGTGGACGTTTTGCGGTGCATATCGTACTTGGTATGTTTTGCGGCGAGAGTGTGTCTTTGCGTCGCATATCGTCCATATTTTCTGTATTAAAATATATTCATTATAAACGTTACTTTTATTGGCTCTGTCACTTTCATATTGTTTCAGGTAAATATATGACGCAATAAACATAAAAGTGCAATATCCTATCTAATTCTGACTTTTTTTATTAAAAGAAATAATATGCTTAAGCCGAGGATGTTTATCGAATAGAATTTTTATGGAATGGAACCAAGCAGCAGCAGCAGAGATACAAAAATGATGATATTGAAACTTTCCTCCTTGATTAAAGTACCCCGTTATATTTTCCACTACTTTTTCAATTCCCTCTAAAAATATTAAATTGACCTGCATTTAATAGGTCTTAAGACCTCATCACTCTTAACTATATATCTCAATGAATTTAGCTTTTAGCATAATTGATTATGTAACACTGATCATTCGTTCAGTTCAGTTCAGGTTCTTTTAGCAAATCGACATAATATCATGCCTTTGGCCAATTTAACAATTTCATTGTGAAGAATATGGCCAAGACATCATAAACATGTAAACATAATACAACGCTTGCAATAGAAAAATACAAAACGTACAAAAATTGTCAGGCAAATACAGTAAAGTGTATTGACAGACATAATGCAAAATAAGAAGCAAAAGAAGAGTATCGTTATCGACAAATATCAAAAAGAGCTAGATTCCCTACCGGAGAGCCCCTGGTCTAGCCAAACGTATGGTTAGTAGGGCCCTGTATACATTTTCGACATTAGAAGTTCTTTTTTTTCCAAATTTTTATTTACCAAAAACTATTGGCGGCTGTATGCCTCTCTGAAAGATACTTGTGTCCCTATGCCTCACCTCAAATGTTACTATGTACAGGATAACTTGCTTCCTTCATGTGTCCCCAAGTACAAAATAACTACAACCCCTCAAGTGTCCCTATGTACAGGACTACCTTCCTTCAAGTGTCGATATGTACAAGCTGAATTCCTTATTTTAAGTGTCCCTATGTGCAGCATATCTACCTCCCCTCAAGTGTCATTTTGTAGACGATATCTACCTTCCCTCAATCGTCACTCTGTGCTGGATATTCCCTCAAGTGTCCCAATGTGCAGGATTCCACCAAGTGTCAATCTGTAGAAGAGGACATCTTTGTTCTGGTGGGACTCGAACCCAAAACGGTAATTTATTTGTAATATCAACAACTTCTAAATTTAAAACTTCTTAATTATAATGATATGTATGCTTGTATTTAAATGTCAGGAGATAAGATTTTACACAGTGTACATGAATAAAGTACGGTATGACAGATACATAGTTGACCTATTGTTTTTCCTATCACAAAATGAAATTACTTTTAGTAATTTTTGTGCTACACACTGGTAAGCTTTATTGCTCAATATTGAATATAGATCTAACTTGATTTGTAATTCGAATTCTATTTCATAATATTGTTGTTTTGCAACAACAAGACGGATATACAGTATTTCAGTAGAACGAGGAAACATTTTTATTGTTGATTTTAAAGATTTTTAAATGTGTGTACAATATCTTTAATTAAAAAGAATCGCAAAAAATAAAATATATATAGTTATTTTTAACTTTATTGTGACACCATTACTTTTATCATCATAGCGGCGAGCTATTTAAAGCTACTTTTACTTCAATCACAGTTTTTTTTCTTATCAAAAATATCTTATAGGTAATAAATGTGATGACGTCAAAATAAAGTTAAAAAACAACAATTTTCTGTTGAAAAGTGGAAATAAAGAGTATATAACTTTGTAAATTGTTTGATTGTAGGGTTAGGGTTTCTATTGGACGATTTCAACCGCAACCTTTACAGATGTCCCCCTATTATACACCGATCAGCTAGACTCTTCACGTATGGCCAGTATTGTATAGAGTTTGTAGTCGGCAATCCAACGTATTGGAGTGATGCAAGGTTTCTAACCTCGTTCTTGATGTCCTTTTTGTCATTTATGATATTATGTTACTTGTTGAAACGTTTGAGGAATTTAAACATGTGCCTTCTATGAGCGATTATAATGTGCTAGATTAGGAGGACATCTTACATTACTGTAGAAGTAGTTACCTTATGTTGACAAGTGTTGTTATACTATAGTTAAGTAATTGTCAACTTTTGCACATATATACAACTACGATGGAGAACGAATGGCATACGAACCATTATGTTTGAGTAAAGCTCTTTGTTCTGTACTAATCTGATAATGACAATGACATAATTGAGTTCCTTCTACATATTCAGATACTGCATTTTGATGGATTTATGTAAATGTGATTATCATAATATTAAACAGATATCACATTAATGTCAAATACGTTTAGGTTCAGGGCTACTGCAGACAATTTAAAATTAATGTGGAAAGATTATATGTAGTTTTACTTACCATTGAACCTTAAATGAATATGATCGATTTGATATGATATACAACGGTCACATATTTCTTAAGGTGTATGTACCTGTATATTCAAGGTTATTAATGTAACCCACCACCATGAGTCAATTTAACAATTACTATAATCTGTTTTATATTACTTAAGGGACTACTGCCACCATCGGGGCGGTACTCTAGTGTCAATTCCCGATTCTGGTACCCAGAAGTTTCTGATGAAGGCTGTAGAATGGCAACAGTTTTCCCCGGATTCGAAGGGGCTGTGGATAGGACTCAATGACAGGTCCAATGAAAACCATTATGTCTGGGAAAACGGTCAGTTTATATTTCAATTCTTTAAGAATATAATAGGAGATGGGTCCATTATTTGTTCTACAGTACAGACAATATTTCAGTCATTTTCAAGAGAAATATTTGATCCCAATAGGTTAGGTTTCCCCTAACGATTGCCAGTTTGTCCTTGTAAGTACATAAAATACATATGTAAAAACACTAAAACAATGTCAGTACTTTTAAAGAGCAAGACATTTGAAATATTGACTTTAATGTGAAGTGTGCTGGAATAGCAAACATACTGTAAATTATATGTCAAATGATGCATCCCGATTAGAATATCTGTCCCGAAGTAACGGGGCTTTTCACATTTTATTTTCTTGAATATTCTTCCATATTTTTAATGGTTTACCTCAAAATATTTTTTGTTCATGGAAAATTAATGTCATTTAATACGTAACTATTTTGTTACAGTAGTGTATGAATTTACAGGCGAAATGAAGCCGTCTTAGACATGCAGTTTTATTCTAAAATGTACCGAAATGACGTCATTTTAAAGCACGTGACGCATCTGGCATCCCAATACCAGATGAAATTTCCAGCATGTGTTTAACTAACTGAGATGCAAAAATAATAGCTCTCAATGTTCCACTGACCTACCTCCTTACACCAATTTTACTGTATGTTAAATTATCCATTAAATTGTTTAGAATTTCGGGTATATGTTGTTTTCAGTCGACAAGCTCACATACAACGAGTCACCTCCTACTTCCAGCTTTTAGTTCGGTTTTATTTAATGTTCATACGTGTATTTCAGGTGATGGACTTCATGGATTTACGTATTGGGGTAAAGACGAACCGAGTAAATTGATTCATTTTGCTCAAGACTGCGTGGTATTACAGATCAAGGACGGTGGTCACTGGTGGGACGAACCGTGTGGACTCTGGCCCTTTACCTACAATTTTATATGTCAATATGGTAATTAATATTTATTTTATACCTGTACATACAAAAAGCGCAATGTTTTTCAGTTTTAGTAATTAGTTTTCATTTCTTATTTCATTGGTTTTAAATATTGTTAAAGCTCATATCTAAGTCATGAGTGTGCAAATTCACTGTAATATTTCTTGTCTTATCTATACAGACATGCTTCCAACAACTACCCATAAAACTACTCATACCACTAGTAATATAAAAACGACGACGGCTTCGACGCCAATGAAAACAACGACGACGACGGTAAGAGAAACAACATTGTCTACTACATCACCAACAACTAAAACAACAACACCAGTTATGATGACGACAACAGTGGCATGCCAGGATATAGATTGCCAGAAGTCATGTCCCGGCGGATATTCAGGCGTTTTCGTCGGCAATGACGGATGCATTTCATGTAGATGTATTTAATACATGGATGATACTGAAGTATAACAAAACAAAACAAAACAAAGCAAAAGTTAATTCTATTTTAAACCTTTTTATGAAGCGTAAGCAAAGTCCTTGAAAGAATGAAACATAACTTATGCCGTGTTCTCACCGCCGATCAGATCAACTCGATCAAGCACGATCAAGCGATCGGGTACCGGTCTAGGTCGGCCTGCATGCGTGATCGGGGTGGTCGGAGTGGTCTACCTTGGTCAGCATGGCTCGGGCTTCCTACCCGAATTTTTTTGACATGTCAAAAAAATTCGAGTAGCGATCGAGTAGATAAGCGGTCGAGAAGCGATCGTATAGTGATCAAATAGAAGACCTAGTTGATCGAGAATAAATCGTGTAACGATCTAGTTTGGTCAGGTATACATCTCTTACCCGATCTGTTCACGATCATCTTGACTTCTATTCACGACTCGATAACGATCATTACGATCTGGTCGGGTGGAAATCTGGCAACGATCGAGCAGAGGTCCAGGCCAGTTAGTCTAGTTGAGATCGTGTATGACTCGCGTATAGGTCTGGGTGTTCGAGAAGAAGTCGGGATGTTGGTGAGTTGTCGGGTCGACTTGAGGTCGTGTAGGAGTCATGAATGTGCATTTAATCCAGCTTGGTCGGGTATCATCGGGGAATTAATGTGATCGGGTCGATCGAGTTGATCTGATCGGCGGTGAGAACATAGCATTAGAGTACGTAATACAAAACCACCTTATTCGTGTTTGTTGCGCAGTTGGAAATTCTATTAAAGTTATGAAAAGCGTCTAATAGAATGTTAAGCATTTATAAGGACTCGATCACATTCTGATTATTATATTCTCTCAAGTGATTGTATTTTTGTCATATTCGTTGTTGTCCTTATTGTTTTAGCAACAAAAGAATATTCGATTAAATCTCTTTAACATTGAATTTTAGCGGTCGTTCGCAAATTTATTTAACGTCACTAGTCCATAAAAGATAATGTGTAAGTAAAGTAATAACACCGTTATTTATCAAACACTGCTTGTCTATTAGGAGTACGTAATATGTGTAAAATGTGAGAAGCAGAATTGAAAGCAACTGTGTATCGCAGACACGCGCTACTTCGAACAGTTAGCAATGGAAAGTAAAGCCGACAAAAAGGTAAATTGTTTCAGTGAGAAATTATTTTCATGGGTATTATTGTTATGGGTTGATCGTGCATGATAAAAGTGACGATAACGTTACGATAAGGCGGCGATAATTGGCGGGAGTGTGCGGAATTAGTCCGTACCCTAATGATGATTTACAGTTTTATTTTGTAAATAAATTCTCCGGCAATGAAAGGAGAATATAACGGTACATTTATATGCTGACCGTCTGCTTAAGCCACACTAATTGGCATCATAGAGTATTAAAGTTTCCAACTTGCCAGTCTCTAGGGTATAACTACAGCAAATCCACGCTGGAATCCTGTAGTTATATTTACAGTATGACAAATTTCCCCTCATCTTCAAACATTTTATTCAGTTCGTTTATTTTTTCTTTCATTTACTGATTCTGCCCCTCCGTCCGAACGTGGTATTTTAGTTATATATACATGGGCAAAAGTGAATTATGATGGTTTTTAGAAAATTCAGGCAGTAGATTTTTTATTAATAGTCACATAACCGCCTTTTATCTTGAAACAAAAAGTACAATGTATCTTTAAAAAAGGATAATCGGCCGAAGTTTTATAACCCACCAACCACATTAATTATGTAAAGTGTGAAAGTTTGGGGGTATGAAAATAAATGTTAACTCCACATACATGGAGAACAATTGATTTCATTTAAGTTTATTTGTACTTTCAATGTACTGAATGTCATTTTTCCATATATTCATGTACATGAGTAAACTTACAGCATCTTGGAATTTATTGGCGGTCTCGTTATTTTGGACAGAATTTATAACTCAGTATGTTCTTGTATAGAATAAACTAGTAAGTTATGTAAATTAATTTCACTAGAAAATGTAATGAGAAATTATTTTGTGGAAGGAAGTATGGGTAAACAGAACTTTACTTAAATATCTCAGCAAACGAAAATGTTAAAGAACTATCCTGTGCATTTTATTTTAAAACCATAATTTGCATTTTATTTCATAATCGCAAGTACTATCCTTTACATTTTTATAGAACTATCCTTACAATTTTGCTTCAGAATGACAAGAACTACTAATCTATCCTTTACATTTTATTTTAGAATAGCTATTGAGATTCCCAGATCTTAGTTTGTAATTTCTAAAATGAGAAATGAAAATTTTTATATTCAGTCCTTCTCTGTAAATTTTACAGGAAGTCAAACTGATTTTAGACGACCAGGTAAAAAAGTCTACATTAGCCTCAGAAATTAAAAAAAAAACTCTTACATTGAGACCGTTCGATGTCCTTTATCTTAGAGGGAAGTCTGGCGATCGGCAACAGTTTAAGATCATCAATGATTATCAATCTCTGATATCAAATAAGGCCTAGAAGTCTTGAAAATAGTAAAAAAGAATAGCGTAAATATTTCTACTTTTATCTTTTACGGCATCACGGCTAAAAAATCACCAAAGGTAGAAATTTGACCCATCGCTCAAAGTTACATAAACTGACGCTTCTTTTGGGGTAGTGTTGTGAAAAATAAAACATTTTTTCTATGCCGGTAAACGGGGACATAAAATTATTTTTTTTCTGAAGATGCCAAAACAAGGTTGACAACTTGCATAATTGTAATACGAGATTTAGTCGGTATATTCCAACACACCGTTTATTATTGTGTTTATAAAGATTCGTGATTTTATATGTTAACAATTAACACTGTCTACAACGCTTGGCAAAAACATCCAAGATGTCGGATAAAAAAAACAACAAGCTGTTGTTATTGAATTCATATTGAATTGCGCTTGCTATGTTTACTTTTCTGGTAATGAAAATAATTTGCAGGCCATCTTTAAATATATTAAATGTTATTCTATTCATATAAGGTGTAAACATTATCAACACTTTCAACATAATACCAGCCCCACCACTACCATCACTATCACCAACACCACTATCAACATCACCAGCGCCAGCACTATCATCACTATCACCAACACCACTATCAACATCACCAGCGCCAACACTATCATCACTATCACCAACACCACTATCAACACAACTAGCGCTACCACTACCATCATTACCACCACCACCACTATCAACATCACCAGCGCTACCACTACCATCACTATCACCACCACCACTATCAACATCACCAGCGCCAACACTATCATCACCATCACCACCACCACTTACAACATGACCAGCGCCACCACTACCATCATTATCACCTTCACCACTATCAACATCACCAGCGCCACCATTACCATCATTATCACCTTCACCACTAACAACATCACCAGCGCTACCACTTCCATCACTATCACCACCACCACTTACAACATGACCATGGCCACCATTACCATCATTATCACCTTCACCACTATACAACATCACCAGCGCTACCACTTCCATCATTATCACCACTACCACTAACAACATGACCAGCGCTACCACTACCATCATTATCACCACCACCATTATCAACATCACTAGCGCCACCACTATCTTCATTATCACATTCATCACTAATAACATGACCAGCGCTACCACTACCATCATTATCACCACCACCACTATCAACATCACTAGCGCCAACACTATCATCATTATCACCTTCACCACTATCAACATCACCAGCGCTACCACTTCCATCACTATCACCACCACCACTTACAACATGACCAGCGCCACCATTACCATCATTATCACCTTCCACCCACTATTAACATCACCAGCGCTACCACTTCCATCATTATCACCACTACCACTAACAACATGACTAGCGCTACCACTACCATCATTATCACCACCACCACTATCAACATCACTAGCGCCACCACTATCATCATTATCACCTTCACCACTTACAACATGACCAGCGCCACCACTACCATCACTATCACCAACACCACTAACAACATCACCAGCGCCACCACTATCATCACTATCACCACCACCACTATCAACATGACCAGCGCCACCACTACCATCACTATCACCACCACCACTATCAACATTACAAGCGCCACCACTACCATCATTATCATCACCACCACTATCAACATCACCAGCGCCACCACTACCATCATTATCACCACTACCACTAACAACATGACCAGCGCTACCACTACCATCATTATCACCACTACCACTAACAACATGACCAGCGCCACCACTACCATCATTATCATCACCACCACTATCAACATGACCAGCGCCACCACTATCATCACTATCACCACCACCACTATCAACATCATCAGCACTACCACTACCATCACTATCAGCACCACCACTATCAACATCACCAGCGCTACAACTACCATCATTATCATCACTATCACCACCACCACTATCAACATCACCAGCGCCACCACTATCATTATTATCACTTTCACCACTATCAAATTACAAGCGCCACCACTACCATCATTATCATCACTATCACCATCACAACTATCAACATTATCACCACCACCACTCCCATCATTATCAACACAACCACTATCATCACTATCACCACCACCACTATCAACATTCCCAGCGCCAACAATATCATCATTATCACCACCACCACTATCATCATCATCATCATCACCACTCCCATCATTATCATCACCACCACTATCAACATTACCAGCGTCACCGCTACCACCATTTCACCACCACTACCATCATAATTATCACCACCAATATCAACATTACTACCACCACTATCATTTACACCACCACTATCATCACCATTATTATCTTACTATCACCACCACCATAATCCTTACCTCCACTATCATAATACTGATGATCAATTTTATCATCATTAGAATCATCATTAGAATTATAATCTTCATCATTATTATTATCATCTTCATCATTATCACTCTCGATTTTGTTGAAATATTTTAACTTAAAATAAATGGGTGAAGTTAACCAGTTTTATATGTTTTAAGAAAAAAAAACACAATTGAACCATATATGATCTAGTTTTGCTTTCTTCCTTGATAGGACTACGTTGTACGTCCATTGGTAAATTAAACGAGACTTACCTGTAACATGAAGTTGGATTTAAATTCTCCGAGGCACAAAGTCACTGTGATGGACTCATGTGAAAGTATCCAGTAAGTCAAACTTGTACTTGTTCAGATTATTACCACATACATACGTATATATAATCGTATTTTTCAGCATTTCTTATGCGGTGGTCTTACTTAGGCTTTTAGATTTAAATCGTTTATAGTGAGCGTACTAAGTGTACTAAGCTTTGAAAGATGTATTAGAATATTCATGAATTGTAATTAAATAGGAATTATAGACTATCATTTCGAACGTACTATTTTACTCTTCTCCAAACGTACCCAGGCTCAATTTTTTACCATTCTAGCGACAATGATTTAATATTTATATATTAACTTTTGCTATTGTGTTTGATTACATATTAATGTTTTTATGTGCGGTTCATACATTTTATGCTTAATACAATTAAAGATATAATTTTCCATTGTTTATACTATAGACAAATAGCAAAGAGCATTATTTATGTCCATACAATAACCAATACTCGTACTGTCAAAGTATATAATATGTGTTTTAAAAACTTTTTTATAGACTTTAATAAAAAAAGTAATAACAATATATATAATAAAATGAATGAATGAATGAATGAATGAATGAATGAATGAATGAATGAATGAATGAATGAATGAATGAATGAATGAAATAACCGTTAGTATGCAGAAATTTTCCACGAAGTATTTGTATTCATGAATTTTCTTTAACTTAAAGGAAACATCAGGATATTAATTAAAGTTTTTTCATCACAATTGACAACATGATTTGCAAACGACACTGCGGTAACGATCAGTTTGTCCGATATCTCACTACAAAATGTCAATTTAAACTGATGGTGTTCAATCTACCAACATAATTTCTTCTGAATTGCAGACATAATTAAGGCAATTATTATTATTATTTCCTTGTTGTCCTAGCTCACGAACAGTTATTTAAAATGTATGTAAAACGAATGTGTAACCTTACGTCGGTGGGTTTTTTATTCAGGAGCTTACATGCTTGTATCAATATATCACTATTTGATATAAGAAGATTCAGAGTAATTTGACTTCAATTTACTGAATGGCTATCTTTTTATCTTTTACTGAAATGAATATATGTAAAAGTTATTATTAACCTAATCTGACCTTGTCTCCGATTCAACTTTATCCTAAATTTGAAGTTTCACTATAAGAAAGTTAACAACGAAATTAATGAACTTTGATCTTGAACAGGATCCATCGGAAGCACAGAGGGTAAAAATTATCTCGTGACCACGAGTGGGTTTTTCTTCGTTATCACGAGTTAGCGAGTTTTCAATATGACTAAAGTTCAGATCTACTTATTTTCTTTTGATCAGACTTGAGGGTTTCTTTCTTAATGATATAACTTATATTATCTCGTGGCCAGACGAATTGGCGAGGTTTGTAATTTTTTAGATCCACATTTCGAAGAAATTAAGTGGAATTTATGTCATGAAGTACCTTAGTATGTCAAGGCTACGAAATAATAATCGTTTAACCGTTATCATCTGACAACCACTATATGAGAAAATATGCTGTTGTTCAAATACCCTTGAAGTTATTTTTTATTTATATTTCGTTATATATTCACTAATCATAATTATATTTTACTAATGTATAAGTTTTATAAAAAACTAACAATATATCTAGAATTTTGAAGTCGTTATGGATCAGTTGTTTATATTTATTCCTGTTACTTTTATCAAGTTCACGTTCACTGTAACATTTTTGCTTTATACAAACTTTTTTTTTTTGATAACTGGTGTTTATCATTTCAAACACATATTGTCGCTTGCTATGATGATATCTATAAGTTGTCAGTTTATTTCATATCGTCTTAGACATTACATGTAAAAACTTTTAAAATTTTTGTCAAATATATAATATATATAATCTATACATGTATAACATTGTTTCCATTAATTTTGTTTCGGCGATGTAAAATGTCTTTATTTAGAACATCTAGTCATCTTCTCATTATAAAACTTGAACGCGTGTCGAATGACAGTTAAAGAGTCATTAATCAGAAATCCTTCCCTTAATTACTGGAAAATAAGATTTAAACACACTCTAACAATGATTTGTAATTTGTAAGATTTCTCCGCGACCATTTCATTTTTCCGCACAAGTCGGAAATAATGAATTGTGCGCACATGCGCACAAGGCCGCACGCGCCAGTTTGTGACCAAAGTGGCATCGTTAAAGCAGAAAAAGAAAAGCTGAATTTCTCTTGAAGATGATATATAGCCCGTAGTTCTCAAAATATATCAATACATTTCATTTGTCTGCAAAGATGCCGACACTCTGAGAAAGTTTGTGTATAATTACGTACAAAACACAAAATTTATATTTTTCCATGAAATAAATCACGCCTTCAGCTAAAACAAAGATTGATGTATTTTGTAAGAAGATAATTTAAATAAGAATTTCTTAAATATTTTTGGAACAGAATTGTAGGTGTTAAATTTGCTCGTCACATGCAAACAGTATCTACACATTGAAACAAATCTTTGATTTCCGTTATATCAACAACATGCATGGTCGCAGACGAGTTTCAGTATGCAGCCACGAGAAGAAAAACAAAACTTGTAAAGCGCGTGCAAACTTTTAACTTGTCCAATGTAAATATTGGTGTTGTGATCGAATGTTTATTTTGAAAACAGAATGATTACAAAAACCTGCTCCCTCGATACAATATATACAGAAATTTCCTTATTTTATGATGCTTTGAAGTCGGAAAACACCTGGGAATCACTTCCTCCGCTGGCGTATGGTTCGAGTTTTATTTTAAAAGTTAGAGAAGCAAAGAAACAAGTTTCTGTTGAAGAAAGGAAAATAGAAAAAAAAAGAACTAACACGTCAGCGTGCTGAGCAGAAGCACAAAAAAACACGCGAAGTTTACTTCACATGTGCGTAAACAATGCATTCCTTAACGTATGGGGAATTTCCGAAATTCTTGAATCAGAAACACTTTGAAAATCCCCGATTTTAAGTCCAAAGATTTCAATTTTTTAATCAAGTTTTAATCAATATGCATTACACATTACACATTCCATATTAACAATAAAACATGACGCAAATACACATGTTATAATTATTAACTTTGTAAATTGGTAAGAGTTAACATCGTTTGATAATATCAAATGTGAATTTAAAAGAAAATAGGCTGATTAATAAACTTATTCAATAAAGTAATGAAAATGCATCTATCAAAGGCGGTACTTCGACATTTTTTCTTCGTTTTTGCAAACAATAACGCAATGTTTCTTATAATATTTCTAGTCGACTGGACGTTAGATAATCAAGGGTTAAGTAGTAGAATAGTATGCAATTCAATCCAGTAAAATACCCGTGGTTAAATATATAATCACGCTGTGTATGTAATTTAAGATTCAGAGAATATACCTAGAATTTCATAATATTTATAACGTCCAAAAACCTGTCAAGTCAGTAAAAATTAAGACTACATGTATAAGCTCAAAGAAGCCCGTATGTACACCGAGGGCTATGGAAGAACAAAAATTATAGACATGTTTGCCTCCTCTGTGTGAAGTAGGTTTGGTTGGGTTTTGACCAGAGTAAAATACCGATAAGTTCTGTCAACAAGTATGTATAAAGTTACATACATCTGTTTTAAAACATTCTAAAACATTATTCCAGGACTGAGGAATGAACACTTTGATACATTTTAGTTTTAAATCATACATGTCGAGTCAGATCAAATTCTAATTTCTATATTTCTATCTCTTTAAAAGAAAAAAAAACTGGAATAAAATTCGCACGTTTGTGCTGTAACAAAAAACTTCGCTGGAAGAGTACGTATGGTAAAACAGGGTCTTTGAGACCTGGGTAAAAGAATAAAAACGCACACGCCACTGGAATTTATCTACGACGTTAACCGACCAATCTAAACGCTAGCATACAGAGAATTTCTATAGCAAGAGGCTTGCTTCTAGCACATCGACTTTCCTTGCTTTTCTGGTACGGGTAAATCAATATAACCGCCTTCTTACAGAATTTGCTCGTTTACGTCTATGGCCATGCCCTTTCAGCTCCCCATGCATACTAATTCGTTTTTACTCCGCCCACTCCCACGGTTAGCAAATAATTCCTCTGTGATTCATGCTGGTAGTTAGAAAAGCTGAGCTGTTTAACAAATAAACCTATCAGCACGATAAATATTCTGATCTTCTTTAATAGTTGTCATTGTACGGATAAACAAATACGGATTAAAATCAAAAGTTGACCAACATTTTTAGTGTATTTTCAAGTGTTTTTCTTCTTTACTGTTTGGATTTTGATACTGTCCTATTTGTAGCAAAATCGCTAAGTGTTTAGTAGAAGACGATAATATTAAAGCTTGAGGTTAAAAAAAAATTTAACAACCGACGTACGATATTATATTGTAGACAATATAATGATAATTGTGTCACCTGAACGATTCTGGTAAATATTAGAGCGTCTCGTGTGTATATATACTGATATACGGTATCGGGTGCACGGTGTTCATATGATCACTGACATTGTAGATACATGTTACTATCATTATTTATATTTTACGTACAAAAACCATTGAAGGCAACGTGATGTGGCAAATCTCAAAATATGTGTAGTCTTCTTTAATAATATATTACAAAAATGAGACTTATCTACGTGTATTAATCTACGACATCACGGATTTATATATGATATCTAACAACAAAATTAGTGCTAATAGAACATAATGGTGGAGACGATGAATCCACTAGAAGGTGATCGGAGGTATGACGATACAAGGTACGATGATCGATATCGAACCGACCACGATATGGAATACCTAAATGAGGTATGTCTTATATTCTTATATCGAAAGTTTAGAGATTAATTTGAGAAAATAGAGTGGTGTGAAAAAGAACAACAATGTAAATTCTTTTTATTTGCATTCTTATAACTATTTCTATAAAAGAGAAGAAGAAAAAAACGAAAGACTCGTTTAAATTGAGAATAACAAGTCATTCAGTTCGAGCATCACGGTAGCAGATAAAAACATTTCGTGTATATAGTATTACTGTTTAGAAACCATAGTGTGTTTTATCATTTAAAATTCTTAGATATGTCTTGTGTTTCATGTAGAAATGCCACAGAGACTTTACAATCTATAAACGCACTTGTTACCTCCGGACTGAGATCGTGTATCTACGGGGGTTGAATTTTCCCACCGGCATCATAATGTTACATCATTCCGTGTTATCTATATATCACATTGTCATCCATCATGTTTTTTTGCTACATATTAATACATGTTCTTCTAAAATTGCTAATAATAATTTGCACATCCGGTTATAAATTTTAATGTAAGTGATTCTTCTAAGTATTGACGACCGTGAACGAATGTGTATCACTGGTTTTACCTCTCACTTTAAACCGTGTTTTATGTATTGTTCCTACAAATATATATCATGGAAGATATAATAAGACTTCTGCTACATGTATTATTTATTTTCCGTTTGATAAAGTTTGTTCATGTTTATGATGTTATAAATAAATGCACGAGTAGATAAATACACGTGCATTGATACCTCTTATTTACATATCTCATTTTTGGTTCCTTTTCAGACATATTCAAAAACACGATTTGCAGGTGATCTAAACATTTTGGGTGCATTTAGCAGATTTTTGTTGCGTTTTTTACACCAGATTTCGCATCATTCTTTTTATTATATTTGGATCTTCTTTTGGATGTTTCGGAACAATCAGTAACAACAAATACATGTATATTTTATTCAAAAGAAATGTTACGTGTTGATGGGAGACATTTTTTTCACTATCAGTAACACACGTAAATGACAGTTGAAAGGTCTCTATACAAGTCTGTTCTTTATTTTTCTACTTAACAAATAACTTTGATCAAATACTGCAAGTGTTGTTGTTGTTATATCTTATACAACTATGAAAATAGCCGTCACCGTGATGAATGCAGCGAGTTTATTTAACGGATTGTTTGAAGAGTCAATATTTTGAGTGCATACTCCTAATGCTTCTTAACTTTAACTTAAACATGTCAATATATATTAAAAAAAATTCAACTTTCTTACAATACAAACAATAAAAATTAGGTTTTCCCCACAATCTGAAAACAAATGTGTAATTGTTAAAACCATTAAAGTTAAAGGAAGCACTAAAAGTTTAAGAGTGATTTTTTAAGGAACACTTAAACTTCACCACTCTGCTAAACACATGTATCGCTTTCTTTGTAAAAAGTATCTGAATCAATTTGTGTTATCCTTTCGTTCTAAAATGTTTTGAATACTCTTATAGTAAATATAACAAAATATATATATTTTTAATAAATAGACTTTTTGAATTTCCAATCCAGTCTTATATGTACATACCTGCGACATGTAACTTCTTGTTTACACTTTATTTGTAGCCGGTGCTAGGGTTTATGTTTGCTTTTTAATAGTTTTTTTTAATAGTTATTTTTAATCAAATACTGTAATCACGCTTAAATATTTCAGGCAATGCCGGATATGCACGGGTCAGGGGAGTTTCGATATTGTGCAGGGTGTGGTTGTAGAATCGATGATAGATATTTCCTCATGGCAGCCGACAAACATTGGCACGTGCAATGTCTACAGTGTTACGACTGTAAACTACATCTTGATAATGAACTCACGTGCTTTGTGCGAGAAGGAAATGTTTATTGTAAAGAAGACTACTATAGGTAAATAATTGAACAAAAATCACTTTTAATAATATTATTTTAAAAATAGCTTTTATGAATGTCCTTACATAGCATAAATTGTGTTAGCTACAAATACTTGGATACTGAACTATAGTCGTTCATATATTCTCATATCTTTTGTAATACATATAGCATGATTAATAGAGTTATTTGGATAGTTCACATTCAATAATCATGGCTAAACTATTAATGCTTTTCCTGTTTACCATAGTTGTATTTATATCTTATCATAACATAAAGCAAAATTATCGCAATAAATTTGAAGTAATTTTTTTTCAAATTCTGTCTGTATGTTGGACTGGTAAAACTTTTAAATTTAAAACTATCAAACACAATGTTAGTTTAAAACATTTTTTTTATTGTTAAGTATATCGATAATTTGGAAATTAATACTGTGTTGCTCTTTCAATAAATGATTGTACATGAATTTATATTTATATTCAGCAAAAATACACCAATGAAAATGTAAATAATATGGTCAATGTTTGCCATGAAAAGTTGGCAGCTACTGTATTTTTTCGGACTGTCATTCGGAAAGTTGAAAATAAGTTTGTAATACGGTTATCCTTTCTTTTTCTGCGGCACCAGTCTTGCGAACATTATCCCTGCCACACTAGGGCTACAATTAGCCCGGTCAGCTTTTGACAAACATCTAATTTGCTCTCGAAAATTGATACTAAATAGCCTCTATGATGTGTAAAATATTCAATTATGCAAAATTGGATCTCTCGATAAGTTTTCGTTGAAGTGATGTAACTAAAATCTGTAGGAGTTCTTGAGTTTGATAAATGCGGACTTTCTGCCCAATGTCCAAAATTACATGCATGACAGTTACTCTCTTGACACAATGGATTCTGTCTCTTTTACAATCTTATTCATTTTCTTTTTTAATAAAGAAAAGAATGAAACAAAGTATTAAACGTTTATATACTTTCACTTAATATATGTATATAAGCGCAATGTTTTATATGTGTCATAAATAATGTAAAATATAGGCAAAATTATCGCAATAACTTAATAAGTATTTTTTTTTTCAAATTCTGTTCATATGTTGGACTGGTAAAACTTTAAATTTAAAACTATCAAACGCTATGTTAGTTTAAAACCTTTTTTATCGTTTTTATTTTTTTTTATCGTTAAATTTGTTTAAACGGTTTCTATTTCATATAAGTGTTGTACTTTGATTTTATGTTTATATTTATGAAAAAGTAAACACAGAAATGAATTGTAATGTAATGAGTTTTCAATGATGGTCAATAGACTATGAGGCATACAATCGAAAATTAAATAAATGTAACTTTTTCCCTGGTAATATGTTGTTGTTTTTTTCAGTACTGTATTCGGACTAAAGTTGAAAATAAGTTTGTAATACGGTTATCCTTTCTTTTCTGCGGCACCAGTCTTGCGAACATTATCCCTGCCACACTAGGGCTACAATTAGCCCGGTCAGCTTTTGACAAACATCTAATTTGCTCTCGAAAATTGATACTAAATAGCCTCTATGATGTGTAAAATATTCAATTATGCAAAATTGGATCTCTCGATAAGTTTTCGTTGAAGTGATGTAACTAAAATCTGTAGGAGTTCTTGAGTTTGATAAATGCGGACTTTCTGCCCAATGTCCAAAATTACATGCATGACAGTTACTCTCTTGACACAATGGATTCTGTCTCTTTTACAATCTTATTCATTTTCTTTTTTAATAAAGAAAAGAATGAAACAAAGTATTAAACGTTTATATACTTTCACTTAATATATGTATATAAGCGCAATGTTTTATATGTGTCATAAATAATGTAAAATATAGGGACAGAGACATTTTCTTTTAGAAGTAATAAACTTTTTGTCAACACTACAATAAAAGAATAATATTTCTGAAAATATCGATATTTAAATCATTATAAGATAAATAGAATTATGAGTTAGAGTTCCTTTTTAATGTTTTTCCAGACGTTTTTCAATAAAATGCTGTGCAAAGTGTCGACATGGTATAGCTGCAAACGAGATGGTGATGCGTGCACGAGACTTCGTGTATCACGTGACATGTTTCACGTGTTTTTTGTGCAATAAGACTTTAATGCCTGGAGATTATTTCGGTATGCGGGACAATATGATATATTGTCGTGAAGACTATGAGAATATGATGCAGGGTGCGCCCCAAGGACAGGGGTTACAGCCATCTGCTAGCCCGGGGATGATGGGGGGACCCGGGATTGAAAACATTCCATATTTTCCACCAGAAACAAAAAGAACACAAAAGGGAAGACCTCGGAAAAGAAAAATAGCTGCTCCAGATAATGGATACAGAACGATGGGTAAGTCATTTAATGCATATTTTAAAGACTAATCATTGATTTCTTATCAATATGGACTTCCTGATGATCCTTTGACATTACTATCTTGTTGTTTATAGTAAAGCTGATAATAAGGTGTAAGTACGTTCTCAACTCAGCAATAATACCAACAAAACAGAGACTATATTTTAACAGTTAATCTATCTGCTGTAAATGTTAATAATAAAGCAAATATATGGTTGATAACGACGATTCTAAAATAGATAACTTTTACATAAGTTTAATTTAAAAAAAACCCAGCAACAACAATTCCACACACCATTAAATATTACTTCAACAACGTAAAGATGTGAAAAGACTATAGGTCGACCGAAAATTTCAAAAGGTACGAAAACATGGAGTGCGAATCGTTTAAATCAAGATAATGTTAAAATATATGCATGCAATAATTTATAATTATGATTTAACACAATTTAAAAACAGATTGTTTCTGTAATTCAGTGTTATGGCTCTACCCTTTATTTTTAATACGGCCGCATCCTCTCTTTTGCCGGCGCACATCTTGTCGAAAAATTCTATTTTCTACGTAAATATACCATTATCCTGAAACAACCACAAATGTTTCTAAATAAAAAAAAATAAAGAAAAGAAATATGACAATTTTTCTACAGTAGATGTAGTGGACTATGTAAGTTTGTATAGCGCTACACATAAGGTATCAACGATAGAATTATCAAAATAGACAATCTGTCGTGTATAAACCTCTTATTTATGTACCCTGAAGAACGTTGGTATTGTTGACTACTTATTTTTTCACTATTTTTACGTATGAAAATGATAATATTAACTCTAATGTAAAGCATTAACTTATAAAAAAAAATGGTAAGCATATATGAGCGTTTTTTTATCATTTCCGCAATCATAATCACATTTATCTGCAGGTTGCACCTAAATAAAAAGTTCACATAGTGTATGCCTAATTAGAGTTTGTTCAATACATTATGCAAGCTTTTAATGTACTATATAATTTTCCTAGGACATGTTTGCGTTCATTATTGTTGTTGGTGATTAGCTTATTTTCTTTTAGTTTTATTAATTTTAGTTTTATTAAGTATTCATGTGACATGCGTTGCTCGGAGTATAATGGTGTCAGGTAGACAAGGTAAAACTACCATTTAAATAAAGTAGAAGACAACAACAACAAACACGTGTGACCTCTGTATCACGTTAATACCGTAAGCCATGAAATACATGTTTTGTGGTGGGGGGGGGGGGGTTAGATATATGCATTTTAATTTAATGATATTAAGATGTGACTTTGGTCAGTAATAAGTGATATTGTGCATGCTGTTTATCATATAGACTTATTTAGCAAATCTGAACGGATTGATACGCCTGATGTACAATCATGAACGCGCGGACATTCAAGGAGAAAGCGAGATTTTTTTTTCATGATTTTTTTACATGGCTACAATTTTGAGCAAAACTATCACGTGAAAATATCTTTTCTCATTCACCTATGTAAAACAGACCTTAATAAAAGGACCGCACGCCATGCGACAAAAGCCAGGTACTGTGTTAATACAACCGTATTTAAATACCATTTATTTCGGACAGCGGGAGTACAAATGGCAGATCTTTTTAACAATACGTCCTTGAAGGATGGCGGAGAGAGGACGGTTTAATGCCTCATTGAATGCTTTCAGGACAGCCAGTATGTAGTCCGTCACTCCCGGCCAGTCTCACAACTTGCTCTTATCTCATAAATACTTCAGTTAAAAAGATTGTGTAATAATATTTTATAAAATTCTCTTTCATCCGTGTAACATTTTCTCTTCATTGTTATTACAATATCCATACGATATTTTTAGGTTTATCTTACAGTAATAGTTTATCAAATTATATAAAACTCTTTGAAGATGACTGCTCAATCAAGTTTACATTTTTGTTAAAAGTTAGTATATAAAATATAGAAGATTTCCATTGCCTATAATATAGCTTTTCAACAGAATGATATAAATGGTTTCCAGTTTTGATAATATTAGGGCATTCTTAAAAAAGTAATCTGTTTCATCAGGCCCGTCGTCACGATTTTGTGATTGGTGCGGCCAACTTTGTTGGTTTGAGCCCGAATCTAGGGGGGTACGGGGGCATGCTCCCCCGGAAATTTTTTTATTCTAGGACGCTCTCAGGGGCGTTTTCCCGTATATTTGGCACAGTTTACAGCCTGCCGCTAGTACATGTTATAGTAATATATGTCAACGATTTTTTACATTTTTAAGTGCGCCGTAAGTTTTAAGGGTGAAATTTAAGGTTCGCATAACGGACGGACAGGTGTACATAAAAATGAATACAGTACATGTAATTGATATTTGGCAAATGAAAAATAAACAATAACTGATGTTATAATTCTTTAGATGCATTTTTATCTGATAATTATAGATAAACAAATACAAGAAATAGTACAGCTACGTGGATTATTGTTTAACATAAATCACACAATGGTATAGGCTTAAATATCAATCGATGACATGATGGAAGAATAGTACATTACGAGTCACTAATAACCACTTTCTGTTTAGCAGTAACTTGTATTTTGTTCACAATAATCTTACACAACACAGAGTTTCATTTTATGTAAATTTTCCAAAAACACATCGCCATCGTTCTCTGGTGGTAATGAACTCATTGGCAATAAGTCACGTTAGTTAAGTGAATCTGTCCTGTACTTAATGAATATGTAACACCATTAGATTGTTCAAACGTACTTGAGACATTGTCGATCTCAGGTATGTCTTTCTTCTTCTGAGCGCCAAGAATGTCATTTCACTTGTAGCATTAGTAGCAGGCATTTCTAACAAAATCTTAAACAACACAACGACCTCAGAGAACAGTGCTCGTTTTAGCATTGACTGTTCTGACACAAATTTCAAAACGTCAGGTAGAGTAACAGTACTATTTTCTGATTTGTCAAAATGTGAAACGTAACAGGTAAGGCCTTAGCTGCACCTCTAAGATGTCTCGGTTAATGTCGTTACCATAGGAATTTCAAACAAAACCAAGTTTCTCTAGTGTACTCGGTCTTCAAAGGTTGTGCGACCATAGTACGTAAATCCTCCACGTTCTGAAATACGGGATATCCCGGTTGGTCAAATCTCTCTTTAACACAAGCCATGGCAAGATCGATTGCAGGCCAGAACACGGTTGCCGTATACAATCAATAAAATGTTATCAAGTTCTCGGAGAATTCAGGCATACTAGTTTAAGATTTTCATAATGCATATTGCAAATCTCATGCACTGTTTTTTTTTTGCTATATCATAATATATATAACATTGATGAAAAAATGTACTCACAAATTTATGTTCGTTTTGGAAACGAAAATGATATTGGTTGATTTGGTTCCGATGGAATTGTGTCACACATAATGATAGTTTGCTATCTTAATTTTTTTAGCTATTCATATTAAGATACTTGTATATGAACTGAAGTAATTTTTTGAGAATTGTGATGTTATAGTTTAAATAAACATATAATATATATATATATACTGTCCGAAGCCACGTCGATGTCAATTAATGCCAATTAAGATAACTTAACACTTGACTTCGTAGGACTCCTACATATACAATTAACAATTAACAGTATCGGACTATCCAGTTGTTTCTTCAGGTCAAGTTTGTATATTACCGCGCATTGCATAAGTGTGAAATTGCTTATCAGCGATGCGTGTTTTTTTGTTTTTGTTTTTTTTTTACTCATTTTTGGCCAAAATATTGGTCCGGCCAAGGCCGGACCGGCCGGACCATCGACGACGGCCTTGTTCATGTTTATTATTTTACATAAAAAGGCAGTTTATTGATACACAAGTCTTGATTTGTTTTATTTCATTATTATTACATGAATTGTTAGTATAATAATAATAATAATAATAATAATAATAATAATAATAAAACAAAATAATAATAACAATTATAATAGTAATTATAATAATAATTATAATAATAATAATTATTATTATTATTATTATTATTATTATTATTATTATTTTGCATTTAAAAAATTATCAATTATCATTTGACATCATGAGTTAGGGCATAATTTCGTGCTCAGAAAATGTCTTTGATCGATAAAGAGAAAAGGTTAACATGGGAGAAATAATTCGCCGGTAGGGGGCGTGTTTGAACATTGGCAAGAGACAGATAACAATGCTAGACTTATTTACAGTTCATCTAACGCGGACAATCCACGTCTGTTCGCGTTCACGATCTTTTTAAGATTATTAAGTTTCAATCCAATCAAACGTGCAGCGAATCGAGTTGAAATGTCGAGTGGTGTAACCAGTGCTCTAGGCAGAGATTAAACTTTTCAGTAGTGTATGCTTCTCTTAACATACAAAACATAAACTGAAAAATACTTTCGAAAAAAATATTTGCTTTTACTTTTGTTATTTTTCGAAATGCACATATTCAAATTGTACCTTTAACGTAGGAATTTTTACTATGTGAAAAGATGCAACCAATCTGTTAATACAAACGATTTAATTACAATTTAATGCAATTTTAATTATTTTAAAGTTTAAAAATCTTTTTTAAAAAATGAAGGAATAAATGAATAAGATATATGTACATATAATTAGTGTAAAGACGTTGAATGCATTTTTAATCAGTACATATGACACATATTTGTTATTTGTTTATGTTTTATTCGTTTTGTTGTCTTAGACGCGCTCGTGCCACACGGGTATTTATTTTAGCTCATTAGCAAGAAAGCAACAATATGTTAAGACCACTTACCATGAAATTTTCTTGAATATTTTAAAGCTCTGTATTGCAGAATCATATCAATCGTGTCATATACATGTATATATGATCCAGTTATGTTTACACTTCTTTTTGAGGAAAAAAATAGCTTCCGTTTTGGAATGTTTGGTTCGGTTTTGGGACGTCCAATATTGTTTTTGGATAAAACAAATCATAACACTTTTTGCGTGTTTTTATGGTTAATATAACAAAACATGTTATAATTCATTCAAGCGCTTTTGTCTACCGAGAATATAAACTATCCACATCAAAACGCTCCGTCCGGTTAGCTCTGAAATGTTGAATTTGGCAACCCGGTTATTATTATTCGCAGACATTGCAGGTCACTTTCGTTGTGATTGATCATGAACTTTTTTACGGTTATTCGTACTGTATCCCCGCTCTGACATGTTAAGAATTAGTTAACTTGTGGAGGTGCATCTAGTACTGGTAAATTGCCTGCTGCCCAGGAACGGTGTGATGGGTGCACATGTACGCTGGTGAATTCAACGTGGCTCGTTGCCGTGATCCGGAATATACACACACACCTTCATTTTGTAGGGTAGCAAGATATATAAATGTTACCGTAAGGATATGGACATCAATATGCTTTAATGAATGAGTTCCTACATAATTCTCCCCTAAATAAATGGTTGTTTGAATGGGAACTAAAAGTGTAAAAAAATATTTTTTTTAAAAATTAAAAAAAAAACAACATTAAAAACTGACTATTGCAATTAGAGTTCTACAGGAGAAATTATAATCGCATTGCTTACAAACGTATTATTTCTATCGTGTTTTCTTTTTTCACCTTCTTATGGCACGTTCCTTGTCGTAACTTGAAGAAAACATACCAGAGTACCAACGGTATTCAAAAACTGTAAATACTAACGAAACCAAACACCCCCGAAACAAACAGAACAATTCTTTTTACAATTATTGATTCAATGGTGTAAGTTAAATATTGACGATCCATTTTTATGTTTGTCCTTTCAAGTGAAGGAGTAAAGTTATACTATATTTTCAAAAATTTAATCAAACAAAAGAAAAAGGAGAACGTGTCTTACACTGAAACCGAATTTTGTTTGTCTATTTTCTACTACTACTCTTGAACACGTGGTACAGTTAAAATAAAACACTTCAGTAAAATGTCTGTAAAATACGCACACAGAGGTGATCTTCAAGTAGGCCTCTTAAAGGAGATTCTTCAATCAGAGGATAGAATAGGTTCCGACACGAGCTTAACCGACGAACATGTCTTTGATTTCTGACCACCGACGATGAACGCTCTCCGTGTTTGTTTCTTTAAGAAGATAGGCGTTACGACCTTTGCACGTACGAATTGGTGGAAACATTGAATTAATAAAAAACGATTATAGAGACCAAGAACATAGAATAAATTAAGTAACGGTTGCAATGGAATATGTTTGTAGGAAATCGTAAACAAACATGTGAATTAAGAATATATTACAGAACTTTAGGACCTTACCGAAAATTTCACTTGTAAGAGAAAAACATAATAACACGTATTTTATGACTCCGCAAAACTTTTTATTAACAATATAGGATCTTTTTTTAAAAGGGTCCTTTGGTACTTTGTACTCAATTTCTTTTTCAGATTAAAAATAATTTTAATCAAACGTCCTTTTGTATATTAGATTAGTATACACAAACATGTAAATAAACTTCATATTCCAATACAATTTAATCAAAGAAGCATATATTTATCACCAGATTAAACTCTGCCTATAGTATCTACATATGAACCAAATATGTAGAAATGTAATAAATCGTTTATGTTATTGTGATAAAACAACTATTACTTACTAAATAATCATAGTATGATAACTTTTATAATAGGTTTTATGTCGGGAGATCCAGATGCGCAACGAGACGGAACCATGGGCCCAGATGGTTACATTACATCCGGGCAACCACGACAGAAACGGATTCGAACATCATTTAAGCATCACCAGCTTCGAGCTATGAAATCTTACTTTCAACTGAATCATAATCCTGATGCCAAAGATCTCAAACAGCTCGCCCAGAAAACTGGTCTATCAAAACGGGTTCTACAGGTAAACCAGTCTTGTTTAACGCTTTCCATTTATATCAAAGAAGCATCTTTAAAAGGAATGATATTCACATTATGACTGAAAATGACTACAAAAATGAAAATGGCATTGACAATGAATTTAGTTGCAATAAAAGGCCTTCGGCGCAAAATACAAGTAGTTAGTCATTAACATATGATTATAATGCCATTTTTTCATGTTTAACACTCGGCAGGCATATGTTTTTAAAAGTACATAAGTTATAATTTAATCACTATTGAAAATCTTCTTCTGTGTTTTTTTTCGTAAAGAGAATTCATTAGCAATATATGTGGCTAATTGAAAGACACTGTTTTCACTTTAATCTGCATGACAAGATATTAATAAAAGTTTGTTGACATGATAAACTAGATTTCCATTACTCCCTGAAATACGTTTCACGTCATGTGTTATATAAAGGGCAAATGAGGAGAAAGTGAAATTCATTAAACTTGTGTCTTTTTAAGCAATATTCACTTCAGTCTCTATCCGAATTTGTATATCGTCCTTTCTCAGTCTTAAGTTTTTGTACGTATCTATTATAATATTATACATGATTATACGGTCTATATTGTTAGTTTCCCTCTCTTACTGTGTAAGTTCCCTTGTCTTATTATGCCCCCTTTTGAAAAAAAGGGGGTATATTGCTTTGCACTTGTCGGTCCGTCGGTCCGTCGGTCCGTCGGTCCGTCGGTCAGTAGACCAAATGGTTTCCGAGTGATAACTAAAGAACCCTTAGGCCTAGGAACTTCAAACTTGGTATGGTGATTGGTCATGACAAGTAGATGACCCCTATTGATTTTGGGGTCAAGGGGTCAAAGGTCAAGGTCACATTGACCTTGTAAGCAAAAACGGTTTCCGATCAATAACTAAAGAACCTTAAGGCCTAGGAACTTCAAACTTGGTATGGTGATTTGTCATGATCAGTAGATGACCCCTATTGATTTTGGGGTCAAGGGGTCAAAGGTCAAGGTCACATTGACCTTGTAAGCAAAAACGGTTTCCGATCAATAACTAAAGAACCTTAAGGCCTAGGAACTTCAAACTTGGTATGGTGATTTGTCATGATCAGTAGATGACCCCTATTGATTTTGGGGTCAAGGGGTCAAAGGTCAAGGTCACATTGACCTTGTAAGCAAAAACGGTTTCCGATCAATAACTAAAGAACCCTTAGGCCTAGGAACTTCAAACTTGGTATGGTGATTGGTCATGATCAGTAGATGACCCCTATTGATTTTGGGGTCAAGGGGTCAAAGGTCAAGGTCACATTGACCTTGTAAGAAAAAACGGTTTCCGATCAATAAGTAAAGAACCCTTAGGCCTAGGAACTTCAAACTTGGTATGGTGATTGGTCATGATCAGTAGATGACCCCTAACGATTTTGGGGTCAAGGGGTCAAAGGTCAAGGTCACATTGACCATTTGGGTAAAAACGGTTTCCGATCAATAACAAAAGAACCCTTAGGCCTAGGAACTTCAAACTTGGTATGGTGATTGGTTATGACCAGCAGATGACCCCTATTGATTTTGGGGTTAAGTGGTCAAAGGTCAAGGTCACATTGACCTTGTAGGAAAAACGGTTTCCGATCAATAACGAAAGAACCCTTAGGCCTAGGGACTACAAACTTGATATGGTGATTGGTCATGATCAGTAGATGACCCCTATTGATTTTGGGGTCAAGGGGTCAAAGGTCAAGGTCACATTGACCTTGTAAGCAAAAACGGTTTCCGATCAATAACGAAAGAACCCTTAGGCCTAGGGACTTCAAACTTGATATGGTGATTGGTCATGATCAGTAGATGACCCCTATTGATTTTGGAGTTAAGGGGTTAAAGGTCAAGGTCACATTGACCTTGTAGGTAAAAACGGTTTCCGATCAATAACTAAAGAACCTTAAGGCCTAGGAACTTCAAACTTGGTATGGTGATTTGTCATGATCAGTAGATGACCCCTATTGATTTTGGGGTCAAGGGGTCAAAGGTCAAGGTCACATTGACCTTGTAAGCAAAAACGGTTTCCGATCAATAAGTAAAGAACCCTTAGGCCTAGGAACTTCAAACTTGGTATGGTGATTGGTCATGATCAGTAGATGACCCCTAACGATTTTGGGGTCAAGGGTCAAAGGTCAAGGTCACATTGACCATTTGGGTAAAAACGGTTTCCGATCAATAACAAAAGAACCCTTAGGCCTAGGAACTTCAAACTTGGTATGGTGATTGGTTATGACCAGCAGATGACCCCTATTGATTTTGGGGTTAAGTGGTCAAAGGTCAAGGTCACATTGACCTTGTAGGTAAAAACGGTTCCCGATCAATAACTAAAGAACCCTTAGGCCTAGGGACTTCAAACTTGATATGGTGATTGGTCATGATCAGTAGATGACCCCTATTGAGTTTTGGGTCAAGGGGTCAAAGGTCAAGGTCATGACCAGTAGATACTTGATAACCCTTATTAATTGTTTGATCACTGGGTCAGAAGTCATGCATAATTACCTTATCACATGAATAATTGGCTGCTGATAGGGGGCATACATGTTTTACAAACATATCTTGTTTTGATAGTTCCCGGTTTCACTCTCTTATTTTGTAAGTTCTTTTGTCTTATTTTGTTATTTTCTCTGTCTTATTTTGTTAGTTTCCCTGTCTTATTTTGTTAGTTTCCCTGTCTTATTTTGTAAATTCACTCTCTTCTTCCTTTCTTACTTTGTAAGTTCCCTTGTCTTATTTTGGTAGTTTCCTTGTCTTATTGTGTTAGTGTCCCTTTCTTATTTTGTAAGTTCCCGCTCTTGTTTTGTTAGTTTCCCTTTTTTGTAAGTTTCCTTGTCTAATTTTGATATCTTCCCTTGTCTTATTTTGTTAGTTCCCCTGTCTTATTTTGTTAGTTTTGCTCTCTTATTTTGTAAGTTCCCTTGTCTTATTTTGTTAGTGTTCGTGTCTTTTTGTAGTTTCTATGTCTTCTATTCTAGCTCACATGAGCACAATGTGCTCAATGTGAGCTTTTGTGATCACAATTTGCCCGGCGTCCATCGTCCGTCAGTGCGTCCGTGTAACTTTATGTACAAAGAAACTACTGGGCCAAATTTGATGAAATTTTCCTGGGATGTTTCTAGCTTGAAACTCTACAAAAATTGTTCAAATGGTTCTGCTCCATTGAACATCTGGGTCAGAAAAGCTAAAAACGGTTTTTGAAATGGAATCTTTAAAAAAACTCTCCTCGGAAAGTGCAGGGCATAGAGCTTAGATATTTTCATCTAATCAAATTATAGCCATTGGGTCAAAATTAGCCTCATCCCAGGGGGTCATAGATTTTCCTATATATATAAAGTAAAAACTTAAAAATCATCTTCACTGTTTTGACAAAGGTTAGATGTTAGATATTTGTTGTTTTTTTTTTTTGTTTGTTTGTTTTTTTTGCATTTAACATTGTGTATTTGACCTCTACTAAGATTGTTCAATATACGCCTTTGGTTGATTTTTACTTAAAAATCTGCTCATCTGAAAGTGCAAGGCCTAGAGCTTAGACATTTTGTGTGTAGCATCATCTAATGAAACTACAAAAAATGTTCAAATTTTAGCCATGGTGTCAAATTTTGCCTTGCCCCAGGGGTCATTGATTTTCCTTATATGTATATTGTAAAAACTTTAAAAATCTTCTTCTCTGAACCGACAAAGGCAAGTGGTTAGATATTTGGCATGGAACATTGTGTAGTGGACCTCTACCAAGATTATTCAAATTATAACCCTGGGGTCAAAATTGGCCTCACCCCAGGGGTTCAATGATTTATTTTATGTATAATAAAAAAAAAACTTTAAAAAAACATCTTCTCTGTTTTGACAAAGGCTAGAGGTTAGATATTTAGCATGAAACATTGTGTAATAGACCTCTACCAAGATTGTTCAAATTATAGTTCTGGGATCAAAATTGGCCCCGCCACGGAAGTCATTGGTTTCATTATGTACATTTAGTAAAAACTTTAAAGATCTTCTTTTTTGAAGATACAAAGCTTAGAGTTTTGATATGTATTAAATGATATCACCTATATGTCTTCTAACAAAATTGTTCAAAAATTACCTCTACTAGTTTCAAAGTAGGCCCCACCGCGGGGGCTATATGTTTCCAAATAGAGAAAACACTTGAGGGACTACTGATTCAGTCCAAATTATATCCTGAAAATTAGTCAGAAAGGTTGTTTTGATGATTTCTAAGGCAATTTCGAATATAGATCATCTGGGGTCAAAAACTAGGTCATACAGCCCAACTATAGAACAAACTTGTAAACACTCTAGAGGCTATTGTTTTATTCCAAATATCCTGAAAAATAGTCAGAAAGTTTGTTTAGATGATTTCTAGGTTATGTTTGAATATGAGTCATCTAGGGTCAAAAAGTAGGTCACACAACTCAAATATGGAAAACATTGTTTACATTTTAGAGGTAAATATCCTGAAAATTTGCCAGAAAGGTTGTTTTGATAATATCTTACTCAACTTTGAACATGGGACATCCATGGTCACACAGACCTGTTTGTTAGTTTCTCTGTTAAATTTAGTTTCCCTGTCTTATTTTGTTAGTTTCCCTGTGTTATTTTCAAATTTTCTCTGTCCTATTTTGTTAGTTTTCCGTCTTATATCGTTAATTTCTCTGTCCCTTTTTGATAGTTTCGTTGTCTTTTTAGTTAGTTCTTCTGTTAAATTGGGTTGGTTCGCCTGTCTTATTTTGTTAGGTTCCCTGTCTTATTTCTATACGCCTGAAGAAACTTCTAGACGTTTTATGGAATGGCGTTGTCTGTCTTTCAGTTTGTCTGTCTGTCTGTCTGTCTGTCTGAAGACAGTTGGTTTCCGCAAGGTTATATTTTGAAGTGTTTCGATAATTGTGCTTGTATTTTAAGAAATAAGACATATATATGTAATTCGAAATTATTTGTTCGTATTGGTGTTAACATTGCCTCATTTTGTTCTCTGAATCGTGTTATAAGTAGAAAAGATGGGGTTTTGTTTTGTTTTAATTTGTTAGTGCATACGATAAGTAAATAATTATGCAAATTTTAAATAATGTAAAAAACATCCGGAATAATGTACACTTGTACTTGATATAAATAGAAAATGAACTGTTCGCAGGAATGATTTGGTAAGGTATCTGTAATGAGCGCATTTTTTTTGGCGCGGAGCTTCTCAATTGCTGCAATGCAGCAACATTTGTACTTGTATCTGCTTTTGTTTAAAATTAACAATATGACTTGTTCCTTGTCATGGAGAGTTTTAATATTCAGGTGAGCGATTTCAGGGCCGTCATGGCCCTCTTGCTTTTAACTTTTCGCTGCAATTAACTTACAAGTTTGCTTCTTTAAAAAGAAGCATGCGAGAGGTCTTTTTGCTGCTGTAGAAGATTTGTTTAATTTGAAAATATTTGGAAAAAAGACACAATGAATGGTTATAAATTACAATTATTTAACAAAATAGAATTTATTATATAAATTGAATATATAGTATCATAATGAAAGTTTGTTTTACACTTCATTTTTTAATGTTTTGAAAGATTATATGCCGGAGAAATTGACTATTTCTTGGCGCATTAGGGATACTTTTTCTACAACGGGAACTTAATTAAAATAAATGATATGTATATTAAAAGTAGTATCAAATTTTCTTGTAAAATTCAATAAGAAAATTTTCGCTTAATGTTTTGGCAAGTATATGGAAACATTTCCTCTACATTTTCAAAAACGGGCATAAAGTATGTTAATCAGACAATTTTAAGTCCAGGATTTACAGAAAAAATGTTTTATATAATTTGATTGGAATAAACAGAATATAAAGCTGCATGCCTCCAACCACTATATTTTAAGAAAATCAAACTTGTGTCAAATTTGCGCCTAAAAATCCCCGTTGCGTTACTTAGTCATACCGGTTTAAAAGTTTAAGGAGCAGCAAAATTTCGGTACATGGTTCACTCGGTCATATAATAGTGTAGCTATAATGTTCACTGTTACTTTTTATTGTCACTGTTACTATTTATCGGAACATGAAATAGTAAAACGCTATTCAGAAAACAATACTGTAATCGATTTATACAGTTTAAAAGATTAGAACGAAATGAAACATCCACGTAGCGCATAGTAACGTAAATGATATTTTCCGATTTTTCTATGTACCGATTCGTTCACTTCGATGTTAATTTTTCGTTTAAGTTAAGTCGTATTTTGAAACGGAGCATGCGCAAAACAAATTTTGTAGACTGCTCCTAATGGTTTTTAGCTGTAAATGAGATTCGTTCACTACAATCAGATACGCAAAAATGGATGCCGCCAGCAATCAGTCTGAACACTGTGGAGAGGTGGTGACGCCCCTTTTAATGAAGTTTTCTGTAAAAAATACAGAAAGAAAACCCGATATGAAATAGGACATAAACATGTAAACCCGATATGAAATAGGACATAAACATGTAATTCGGAATTATTTCTTTCTATTGGTGTCAACATTGTCTCATTTTGTTCCTTGAATCGTGTCATATGTAGAATTTTGTTTCCATCATAGGTTTGGTTCCAGAATGCACGAGCTAAGTATCGACGTCATGTCCTAAAACAAGAGCAGACGAAAGGTGACGGCCAAGCGGTAACAGATAGTGAGTTCCGGTTGAGTGACGATGAGAAAACAGACGACAAGGCTTTTACAGAAATGAGTAATAATAGTTCGTCGTCGTTGTCGGATATGAGTTCCACGCAGTCACTTCCGGACATGCCCGCTGGGATAACTGACTATGACCAACAAAATGGCGGACTGACTGAACTGTTCACTAATTCAATATCTGCGATAAATTAACGCTAAATATGTGTAAAACCTTTTTCAAGAAAGTGATAAAAATTCAAACATATTTATGACGTTCTGCTTAAACAGGTGTGGATCAAAATATTTTTCGAAAAAACCTTTTGTGGCAAGTTATTTTCGTGAAGGTTTTGTGCTCAAAACAATTATTTAAACACACTTCGCAAAAAATAAACTTCCCCTTTGGACTAAATGACATAATAAGATGGGAATAATGTGTTTGACGAATATACTTATCAAACTGATTGTATTGACATAATATTAGAAAACTTAAACTAAATAGTTAAATTATCAACTTAAAACATTCTTATTGAAACTATCTCATGATTATAATTTACGATTAATGAATATAGATATTGTTTCGTGCTTTGTACTGTGCAGTGCCCGGATGCAGAATGTCTAAATATCCACGGAAATGTTCACATCTGTCATTGTCTCGTATTTATCTGCTTCCATCTTCCTTTGTAGATTTCTTAAAGTTTTCTAATCAACTTCTTTAATATTCACTTATTTAGGCACGTGTTAGGTATCAATTAAAAATCTTGTAAGTGATATGATGATATGATTAGTATAACTTAAATTTCAAAATAGATTTTTTTTTTGAATTGGATCTTATTAATAATATTTTATTGTGTTTTTATGTAACAGGAGCCCATCTTTGCATCTTATATATGATGATCAAAATTACAAGTTAACTTTTGTCCAACAGTTTTTTTTGTCGGTTAACTTTTTGTTTCAATCCGTGATACTATCATTGTAGGCTGATAGGTGAACAAACACAAATTTACCTTCATTCTTAACTCATGATTATTTTATTCAAGAACAATGCTATTATTATTGATAGATTTATGAAAAACAACAACAACAAAACACAAACAAATGCATGTTACTATAAAAACATTTTTTTTTCCATTTCGTGCATATTTGCGTTTCAAACATAGTAATTCTTCAACAAATAAATCAACATTTAAAGAATTGTTAACTGCATGGCATAATTATGGCTTGTTTATGTATCATGATGCATAAATAACAAATTTTTTATTTTTATTTTTACAAAATGTTATGAAAGAAGGCATACAAACTTGTCATCCCATGTTTATTATTAAAGAACCACGTAAAATAATGAGTGCAATAGAACTAAGTAATGTTGACGATATATATACATGTGTATGTATTTTAAATTATGTTTAGTCTGTGTTGGTAAACCTTATACTTTTATTACCCATAAACAAAAATTGACAAACGATGATATTTGGAATATGTAGCAAATGTTGTTATGCATTACACGCGAAACATAAGATTCTACACCGCCTCAAATATGTACATTCGCGTTTAATAGAAGTATTTTGATATTTCTGTAGTCTGTTCACTTTTGAAACTGAAAAGAATAAAAGTGATGAAAAATGTTTGTGTTCGGTATTTTGTCCGCCAGAAATTTCTTAATTTATTTACATGGTCAATTACCACATTCTGAGCGAATCTTCTATCACGCTGATTATCAATAACCAATCATCTCTAAAATGATAATTCTACCATGTAACTTTTTATATAAATATGTGTCACGAATATGTTTTTTCTTTCTTTTTGACGTTCGTTTGAAAATAGTGTTTATCATATACTTATAAATGAAATATTGTGAAATATTGATGAAATAAAATGCGTATTTTCATTTTTCATATTTTCACTGTAAAGATTTATTTTTCACTGCAGTGAAACATATGTTCCGTATTTTCACTGGTGTCTTGCTGGACTTCTTTCTTCTAAATTCTACCAGTACACAAAATTTAAGGGAATGTTTTTCAAATTGTTATGTCAAAATTGAGAAAAATGTACATGTATATAATAAACAGAAAATTCAAGTTTTTTTTCTATAAATACAGGATGTATTTTCATCTTGTGGTATGAAAATTATGATATTTCACTCGTGGCTAACGCCACTTATGAAATATTTATTTTCATGCCACTCGATGAAAATAAATTAAGTATTTATAGAAAAAAACTTGAATATGCAAAATAAATTTTAGAATACCCAATGATGTACAATTTTAATCAATACAGTATCTAAAAACAAGACACTGAGTGTGTGTATATCGCGGATTTATTTTTCATATCAATGCTTTTGTTTATATGATGTATTACTGACATGTACTTGTTTCATTTCTGGTTTTATTTCATTTTTACAGAAGAATGTACATGTATTTGCCTACCGACAAAAGTGGCGATCTCTCATTTAACACACAAGAAATGTGAAGTAAAATTTTAAAAAAATATCGATCTGATAAAATTTATTTTTATGTGGATGATATTTTATGATAATGTTAACGTTACTTTTCTTATAAAAGCGTAGACTGATATAACGTAAAAAGTATCAATCTGCTCTACAAGTAAACAAAATAAAATAAATAATGATAATAAATAAATAAAACGTTGAACTTTCACGATTCACACATTTTAACCTTTGGCATTACCCTAAGGGCTTTGATTTTATTAAACTGACATATAATCTATAAATGTACATGTTCACAATTGTTAAACTGTGCTTATATTTTAATGTTTATAAATGTACCTGTTTCATTGTTTAAACTGAGGTATACAAATGTACATATTCACAATTGTCAAGTTGTGCTTACATGTTGACATTCACAAATGTGCTAGAATTACGTGTAATGATTTTGAGTCATGATATTTTTCTGTGACTATGGTATTATTGTGAAGAGTAAACGTGAAAACAGAGTTTATAGTTTTTCCTTGATTACAGTTTCAAATAAGTATTTAACTATATTTTAAGAAATATTTATAATACATATATTAATATATATGATCATATTTCAAAATTGAGAGCTCACAAACAATTTATAATTGACATCACAAGACTTACGTAATAAATTTTATAATGACATGATATATAAAACACAATAACAATGTTTCTCTTATTATTAAGTAGTGATGTAGTATTTTATCATTAAATTAATGTGTTTGTTGTCATGACAACAAAATCTGGATTTTACAGGACTGAAATGAAAATGTCGTCTTCCATAATCTGAAAAAATTGGATAATGCTGTTATTTTGTACCAACTGTTAACTTTTATAAAGAAGTAGACATAAACACACTTTAAATGGAACTAGAATATATAAAGAATATACATGTATATTTAAAAATGCCGTTTAAATTATACTTTCACTTAAACTTTTTTGGCCCCAAGAAAGTTGAAAATATTGACAAACCATTTATCAAGTATTATCAGTGACTGAAGACAAAGCGATTGTATGCTCCGCCAGAAGGCTTATCATACACCATAACTCTTCACGTGTCAACTGTCTTTATTGATACTAAACATGCATAAATCTTGTGCGTGCTTGGTTCACAAACACCTATATATTTTGGTAAATAAATAAATCAACTGATGTCTGTACAGTCATAACCTAATGTATAATCCTCACTTTCACATACTGGTCGGAAAACAATTATAAGTTAACTGGTAATTTTAAAAGGTGGAAAAATGGAAATCGATGCATCAAATTTAGAGAATTATATAACTGTTCAGATATTTTGTTTTAATACAGTTATTCAATACTCCTAAGATATTTAAACACTGAGACACAATCTAATGGCATCAAATGTAGACATCCACTATTCATTTAACGTTTTATATTTTAATCTTTTGTCTCAAACATATTGTAAGAATTACAAATAAATTTCTTCTAAACGAAATACATACTCCGCAAGGAAATGTTTTGAAACATACTGAGCTTTGCGGAATTCTGGCGAGAGTTATACGGGGGTCTTATCGCGTATTTTTATGAAGTGAAGATATTAGCCACATGACATGCATGTTGAAGTATGGAAATTGTAGATAATTTGTAACCCATGGAGTATCTCGCCTTATCTCAAGAGCTTTCTCGATTTATAGAGTGTTACCACAGCAGGGTTTTGACAGCCTACAAATCACTGGTAACGAGTCGTTTGCTGTAGTGTATTGTCGTTAAAGTTCCTCTAGAAAATAACATATCGGCTTGTGCTCAGCTTTTCCTAGCATCCCCTCCACAGTCCACACACATACACATTGTTGTGGAAAGAGAGTACTCTAAGATTTCAAGACAAAAAGATTGTCACGTCGGACAATAAATCGAAGGATTCTTCAAACTCAAGATCGTACACAACACCATGTATAATTATGTAAATTGTATATATTAACAAACGTATTTTAACTGGCCATATATAGTACAAACTTAATATCGAGATTTTCAACGAAAATACTTCACAAAGTTACATCATTACATATTAAATACATTGTCGTACAGTTGGCAATTCACAGTCTGTTACATTTTTAACACCCTGCTGGCACTAAAATGAATTAGCATTTGTCACCAGTATACAGCCAGTATCTGTGCATTAATTCTGACACTTTTGGCTGACTTACTTTCGTCTTGATATCTCTACAGTTCAAAATGTGGAAACTGATAATTTAAGAAGTTCAAGGGTAATATGTTTTATTCCAAATGAAAAAAACAACAACAATTTTTTTAGGTACAATTTTTGATGCATGTATCACATGAATATACTGTTTTTCAATAAATCTATTTAAGTATGTTTTACATGCATTGTGTTATGAAATAATTCATGCAGCATTTGTTATGTGTTCTTTATATTATAACATGCAAAAATGAGAAATAAACTTAAAAAATTTTGTTGCGCAAACATTTTAACTCTGATGGATACATTTATTTGATAACAAATTAATCAAGTAAAAATACAGATTAAATAGCATTAATTCTTCCAAATGTATCTAATTATCGACATTTTATATGCATTAAAAAAGGCTCTTGCACTTTTAAATGTAAATATTTAAAATTTGATTTTCCTATATATAAAGCCCTAAACTGTCTAAACAATTTCCTATTTTTGTGCACCATTAAGACAATTATTCTTTTTGTGTTCACCAACGTTATATTCGTCTGATTCTGAAAATGAAAAACTCTATGGATTTCAAGATTAAATCAACGTTGTTTTATATATATATAACAAAACCAACAAAATGTTATTTAGTGTTTATTTGGGGAGAAAACTGTTATGTATTTCATGTCCGACATTGTAGAAATAACATGCACATCCATACATGCTTTTCAGCAGCACATGTAAAAATGTCTATAGCTCTTTCTCGTTAATGATGATTTATGAAAAACTTTGTCAGAATAGACAAGCATGTCGAAAGTCGTTGCGAAATCTACACAGACACTGTGCAGGTTTCTGTATATAGTTCTCGTACATCATCCAGATATAACGCGTGGATTCACTCACTTGGTATCAATCTACACCTTATGTCAACCTATGTTCACTGTTCTGTGAGTTTACATCAATTAAGAATTTGTTGATGGTATTAATATTCAGCAATTCAAAATCAACAATTAGTATATTCGAATATCAAAAATATATTGCTCGTTTTACGCTTTTAGGATAGAATGCATTACCTCCATTTTGAAGATTATTTAAATAAATAAAATAATAAATAAAGTTATATATAATAGGCTACAAATATTGACCACTGTATTGAAACTGCGGGTTGTCGGTTCAATCCAGAGTAGGGTCAATTTCTTCCATTTTTCTTTAAACATTATTTTTGTCTCTCTTGTACTAATAACCTTTAACCTATACATGACATCAAATACTGAATCTTTTTACTTCTTTTAAGATCTTAATACATTTTTCTCAAGTTTGAAGTTCTTTCATTTTTTCTCATCTGGAGGCGTGCAGCTCTTCTTTTCAAAAATGCAATCAATTTTTATTCTCAATTATTTTTTTATTAAAGTGACACAATGCCCAGCCAAGAGTATACAGGGAGTGAACTACTTGAAAGTCAAAATAAGTTTACACTTTGCCATAATTCATTTAAATTTTATAATCTACTTCACATGAATGGAAAATAACTTACTGGCCCAAACTTCAGTAAATGTCCACCGGAATTTATATTCAATTTATAAAAAGAGCGAGGCAGTCCTTTTATAGAACAGAACAGATACTTTATATAGATTTGTACATTGTACATCATTTATAATACAATAATATTTACAAACATAACGTCAATATAATGGTAATAGCAATCGTGATATTTTTTTTCACAATTCATCATCTAAATTTATCTAGTAACAAGAAAATTAATTAATAAATGTATATAAAACGAATTAAATTACTATTATGACGTCATTCCTTTGATCTGACTGTACTGTATCTTTAAAACAGTACAGGAAGGTGTCCAATATTAATGTCCAACAGACCATTAATATTAGACAGCGCGGAAGCTTGTATGACCACTTGACTTTGTGGAAAATTATCAGTAAAAGATTCAGTAAAATGCAACCTCTAATATCAGAACACGAGGAATGTCTTTCCTTTGCCCATTACGCATTTTTACAGAATTTTATGAAAAGAACACTAATCTGATAATTGTTATCTGCCGATGATCATTTCGAATTTTATCTTCAAGCCTACTTGTTTTCGATTTCCAAGCCCTAAAACTCCTATCTCTAGCTGGGGGGTAGCGGAGCATCAGTTAGAATATGATTTTAATGGGATGCCTATTGTCCGTTTTTTTGTTGTTGTTTTTTAAAAAAAACATTTAGTCGACAATCATACTTGATTTGCTTCATTGTATGTACGTAATGTCTCTTTCCAAATAAGTGTAATGGTCAGCAAAAAAAAGAAAGCCTTTACAAATAAATGTAATAGAGAAAAGAAATTCATCTATTCAAAACAAAAGCGGTTATATTTGACTACATATATGTTTAGCTTATTTACAGAAACGATTTCAGACTCCTGTGGAAAAATAAGAAAGTATCATTTTACTGCGTAAATATCCAAAATTCACACTTTTGGCCATTTTTACACAACATTTTACATCGGTGATAGTTGTAGAAGTTAAAAATATCATTTTAACACTAAATGGTCAGTATAAATCATTCTTAAAAGTCACAAATTGTCCCAGTCAATCATTTAAAATATCCAAGATTTTACACATAAAATGTGAAAACCTTTTATTTTTACTATTTCTTGTAAAATCCCCTATTTAAATTGATCTCTACTGTATGCGTGTAAGTCAGGGTCTTTCAAATAGAAATTTGAAAGACCCTGTTTTTTTGTAACTGGTATATTTTGTGTATATCATTGTGTTCATGTACATAATTGGTCATATTTCAAAACGCTATGGACATTTTGTTATATAGGAATTTGCAAGTAAGAAGAAAATAATTGCTAAAACATTAGAATTGTACACTTTTAGCACAAAAATACATTATTTCTAATTTAACGATAGATAACATGATGATATTATTTGATAATAAAAGTAGCAATTTAAGTAAGATATAAGCCTCAAACTGACCAATATGTAAAACATTGAATTCCAGCCTTTAATATTTTACATATTGGACAGTTTTCGGCTTACTACTTAACAACGGCATATACAAACAAAATGGTATTCATCTTCAATGTCTAAAGTATTACAACATAAACTTCATATATCTTAGGCAGATTTATATTTTATCGTTAACATTTTCCAATATCAACTGTTGGTCAATCGCCATTATAAAATTCTTTAAAAACAAAAACACATTTATATGAAAAAAGAGCATAATGTCACTTTAAATAGAGGAAAGCGATTTTTTCAGACAATTAAGATATTTTACTATAATATGAATATTGTTAATGAAGTTATTGTATTAAGTTTTTCCCTCACAATCATTGATACTGTAAAAAAAGACCTACAACTTTTTTCAGTACACAAAAGAATTCTACACAGGTTCCGGAAGTAAGCTGACACGTGAAAGACACGTACAGACAGGTGCACGCCACAAAATACGTTTTACGATAATATGAAGTGCCTTTCCTGAGTTGTAAATC